GGGGAGGAGGGCAAGAGTGCACTGGCTCATCCAGCCCTGCCTCCAGCCAGCCAAGTCTCTGAAGACCAGACTGCTTGGCGACTTCGGCCGCCCCTCCTCCCAACCCCGGCCCACCGCACCCTTCTCCAGCACTGAGCTGGACACTCAGCAGTTTTCTCCCACGCACGACCTAATCACTCCACTATGGAGGCTGCCCCCACCCAGCAAGCACTCACCACACACACACACACACACACACACACAGCCTCCCTGCTGGGCCCTGATTGAGAACAGACCCCAGTGCCCAGCCCTTCCAAAAACCTTAACCTCTTCTTCCCCAACCCCAGGCCAAAGAAGGCACTAAGTGAAAGAGAAAGGAACCAGCAATACCCAGGCCAGGTGTGAGAGGACGGAACCACAGATGTGGAGGGAGAAGCTAAACCATGCCTTGTCCTGTAGGCCACAGGGAGAGGACGGGCACACTGCAAAGGGATGCTCTGGACCAACAGGCTGCCTGTACGAGTTAGCCTTCAGCCTTATGGCAGAAGCACAGGCGCCGACGTGTGAGCAGGGGGAGATCAGCAAAGATGTTTCAGGGACAGTGGAGTAAAGCAGCCAGGCTCCTGCAGCAACAGGGAATCCGGGCTGGCTGGCTGGCGCAGGCTGCGGAAGGAAAGCCACACACAGAGCAGGGGGAAGTCACGGGGACACACTGGGGGCTGTGTCCACCTCCCACACCTGCAAAAGATGTTGCTGCACTCTTCACAGAGCCGCAGGTCGGCGAGCCCTGTCGGGGCCAGGGGGAGCTGGCAGCCTAAGCACACAGCAGACGGGGTAGGGACAGCGGCAGTGGCCCCAGAATCCTGTGCTCATTTTCCAAACGGACCCACGCTGCTGCCGCCGTGCTTCCCTTTCTGAATCTTGTATGAGTTTTGGGAACAGTCCTACCCTGGACCTGCACAAGGAAGGAAATCCTGGGAAATGGGACTCCAGCTTAACTTGGTTGACACAGGCCAAAGCTAAGCAGGGTCCAAAGCAGAACCCTTAGTGTAGCAGCCACTGAAAGCTTCCTTTAGTTCGGTTTTTGTTTCAGATCTGATGAGGATACATCCATGCCTGCCTACAGCTCCTGATTGCAGCCTCCTGCTAGCACAGGGCCTGGGGGCAGCAGTGAAGGCCTGGCACATGGCCGGCCACTCCCAGCTGTGACAGAGCCCAGCTGTGGCCACTGCAGATAACTAAGGAGTGAGCTGGAAGGTAGAGGCTCTCTTTGTCTCACAAGCTGAAAAAAAATAAGTTGGGAAGAGACATTTGTTAAAACATAGCCTTTTACCTGATGTTGTTTCGAGAAACGATAGTTGTAACGCTGAGGGCATGAGGTTTTTGTGCTCCCAATGTTTTTGCTATACATTCTTTTCCTTGATAAACGTGACACTGGATGGGAGTCAGTTTGGGTTCACTGGGATGCAGACACCAAGATGCAGATTCAACTATAAGCAGCTGGGCTGGAAGGTGAGGAAGTGAGGGACCCTAGCACGGGGTGCGTAGAGCAGGTTGACACGGTTGGGCTGTTGGGGCTGGGTCCCATTGGAGAAAGCTACCCCGGTGACTAGGTAGTTGGATACCTGTTCTCCGGTTGTTAGTTGAGGGTTGCTCCTGCAGGCATTAGTCCCTGGAATTTGTGTAGAGAATCCCCATATTGCAGCCTGAGGCAGGCAGTTGGGGGCAGAGTGGCCAAGGCTGTCTGTCACCTCAGAGGATGCAAAGGCAGACCCCTCCCCACAACACAGACAGTGCTGCAGGTGTCGGGAGAAGGGACGTGTCAGACCACTTCCAGGAGCTCAGGGAGTTGTGGATGTCACGTGGGGTGGGACAGCAACAGCCACCTTAGAAATATTATTTTGAAGATAATTACATATTTGAGAAGGATACATGCCCACATGGACCACTGATGAGGGTGGGGATCATGGAGGAATGGGGGAAGCAGATTAGAAAATTGCTTCCAATCTTTCTTTTTTTCTTTCTGTATCTGCAGAAAGAAAGGAAAGAAGGGGAGAGGGCCGCTACCAGCAGCTCAACCACATCAGTACCTGGGGATGAGGAATGCCCCACCCCTCCAGCAACATCCCAGGGACCCCGATGTGGAACATGCTGTGTCAATAGTTCCTAGATGTTGTTGATTTTGTTGCTACACGGATGAGGAAATCCTTCCAAGGTCCATTGGCCGACATAGTGAAATAGCCGTATTAGAAGACCATGCCAGGACTGCACACAGATATCTTGCCTAGGGTAGGATTGGGGCTGGAGGTGGGGAACCACAATTTCACTTCTGCAGGACGTGCCTCAAGGACACAAGGTCCTGAGCCATCCCAGATGAGAACTACAGCTTCAGAGGCCCAGATGTGAGACACAAGTCCCCCTGCCCATCCGCAAGCCAAGACAGCAGCCAAGGCTGCTGAAGACAGCAGACAGAAACACACACCCACGCCCCAGCCGCCACTGTTCCTCACTCCCAGCGAGGATCTTCTAGGTGCCAGTTCTGATTCCGGCTGCTTCACTTCCCAGCTAATGGTGGAGGATGGCCCAAGTCCTTGGGCCCCTGCATCCACACAGGAGCTCCTGGCTTCTGACTGGTCCAGTCTCAGCTGAGCAGAATGAAACAGCAGATGGAATATCTCCATCTCCCCTTCTCTGTAACTCTTAAAACTAAACAAATTTTTAAAACTCGGGAATCAGGTCTGGGGTCACCTTTGGTGAAGTTTCTTTGGGGAACCCCCCCAACTGTACCACTGGAGTCAGAAGTCCAAGAGGGAGAATCACAGCATCTGTGGTCTGACGGTGGAGTGCGTGTGTCAGAACTGGGTCTCCAGTTGTTGAAGCCTGTGCAGCGGATGGCATGCCCAGATGCATGCCACGGAGGGTCTATAACCACGGAGGGCAGAAGAAATGGGACAGCTCTCCTCGCTGAACTTTGACAGCGAGCATCTGAGGAGCTGAGACTCTAAGGTGGACTGTCAGCCAATGGACCTTGGAAGGATCTCCTTAACTTTGCAGCAAAGAAATCGACATCAACTGAGAACTACTGAAACCACTTAAGCAGTGACCTCAGAACATGCTCTACATTGGGAACCCGGGGAGGACGTCGAGTAACCATGCCCCTTTTCCAGGTACTCAGTGTAGTTGAGCTGCTGGAAGCAGCCTTCTCCCCTTCTTTTTCTACTTTCCTCTGATACAGAAAGAAAAAAGGAGATTGGAGGCAGTTGTCTCATCCACTTCCCCCAATTCCTTGACTCTCCTCACCCTACAGTAGTTCACAATGGGCATGCATCCTTCTTAACTATGTAAACATAAAAAATAAATGTATTATTAGAAAAAATTTTAAAATGGAATAAATAAATCTTAAAGATTTATTTTTTTATTATTATTTTTTCATTGGAAAGGCGGATATACAGAGAGGAGAGACAGAGAGGAAGATCTTCCATCCGATGATTCACTCCCCAAGTGAGCGCAACGGCCGATGCTATGCCGATCCGAAGCCAGGAGCCTCTTCCGGGTCTCCCACGCGGGTGCAGGGTCCCAAAGCTTTGGGCCATCCTCGACTGCTTTCCCAGGCCACAGGCAGGGAGCTGGAAGGGAAGCGGGGCTGCCGGGATTAGAACCGGCGCCCATATGGGATCCCGGGCGTGCAAGGCGAGGACCTTAACCTCTTGCGCCACCGCGCTGGGCCCGAATAAATAAATCTTAAAAAAAAAATAGCTGTCTGGGGCCCAGCGTGGTAACCTAGTGACTAAAGTCCTTGTCTTCTATGCATGAAGATTCCAAATGGGTGCCGGTCCTTATCCTGGTGGCCCTGCTTCCCATCCAGCTCCTGCTTGTGCCCTGGGAAAGCAGTTGAGGATGGTCCAAAGCCTTGGGACCCTGCACCCACGTGGGAGACCCAGAAAAGGCTCCAGGCTCCTGGCTTCGGATCGGCTCAGTCTCCAGTTATTGCAGCCACTTGGGGAGTGAATCATCTGATGGAAGATCTTCCTCTCTGTCTCTCCTCCTCTCTGCATATCTGACTTTGCAATAAAAACAAAAAGATAGTTTTAAAAAAATAGGTGCCTGAATATGTTAGTAGTGAGAGGTGAAGGACAGTGTGACACAAAATGTTCTACTGAGGAAGCTGCCAACATGGAATACAACAGAAAAAAATGAGACCTCCATAAACCCACCTCTCTGGAAACTGGAACAGAGACGAAGCAGCCAGGTCTCCAGTCCAGGTCCTCCACAAATGGGAGATGGACGTAGCAAACTGTGCCTTAACCTCGTGCACCTCAACACTGGCTCCTCCTCCGCAGGCCTGTGAAGGCCCTCGTATGCGACTTAAGGTGAAACAATCCATCTTGTAGCCATTTCCCACCAGTGGCCCTAGGTCAGGGTATTGGGAAACGGCAGCAGCAGGCTCAGGTCCCCAAGTGGCCCAAGAACACGGGCTAGAGAAGGGCCCGAAGCTGTGCAGTGACCACCCATCTTAGCACCTCTGGCCGCCGGGTCCTCTAACTCCCAGGGAGCCACACTGCCGCGAGTGGAGCCTCAGCACAGCAGCGGCCCTTGGTTGTCACTCACAGCTCAGCAACTCCTGGTCCAGGTTGAAGAGCCAGCCCGAGAGGGACTGAAGCTGCCCAGGGACCCTCTGCTCCCTCGTGTGGAACTTTCGGGTTACCGTCCCCAGCATGCCACCAACGTTCAGATAATGTTCCCATGCTAACTGTCTAATTTCACAACATCCACGCAAGATTTCTGGCATCTCTGAGACCCTTTCCACCAGCCCCATGGCACTTCCTGCTAAGGATCCAGCCTGCACCACTGTCACTGGTTTTCGCAAGGGAGCACTCTGTATTTTCCCACCACTTTCCATGGTCTGGTCTCCTGAGCACACAACAACAAAAATGTACGTGTGTGCACTCACTGAACTGAATTTCCCATTTCCACATACGTATATAATCATCCAAAGAAGGGACAGCAGACGGCGAAACTGCATCCAGGAGAACTTTTTATTTGTACGGAACAGTTTTAAAAATACAGAATAAAATAGCTTTATCTCTACTATTTATTCACAACATCTGGTCCAAATATTACATATTTTTAAAATACTTAAACGTTTAATGAAGCCATGTTAGAAAAAACAATATGAAAATTCTTTTTAAAAACTCCATAAAAGAATTACACATCTCAAAAAACAACCCCACCCCAAATACCCCCTCGGTATGCAAAATAAAAATAACAAACAAACAGGACCCTGGGAAGGGACACAGCCAAAGTCAGTCACAAAACTAGAGGCAGATGGAGTCAACCCTGCCGTGTTCAGGACAATCAGACAGGCAGGTACGTCTCTCTCTCTCTCTCTCTCTCTCTCTCTCTCTCTCTCTCAGACCATGGGGCCCGCACCAGAGAGGATGTGCACAGGTAGTCAGTGGCCACACACGCACGGCTAATGTAAGGAAGCTGGGAGTGGGTGCCAGGGCAGCAAGGTCCAGAACTTCCCACCCATGGGCTGGGCCTGTTTGGGGAGCTGTTCCACTAACGAGCTGGATGCTTCTACTGGTGGACGGGGACCACCTGGGACTACCAGGTTCTGACCACACGAGGGGTGGTGGGTGGGAGACGCCCCATTCTCTATATTCAATATGCAAGATGACAGAACATAACACACAGCCTCCACTCCCTGCTCCTCCAGAAGCCAACATGTGTCTTCTCAGAGAAGGAAGCTCGGTGTAGACCCAGGTATGGGAGACACAGCAGGGACAGGGTTGGATGCACAGAGCCGGCAACCGGTGATGGCCAGGCGAGGGGGCCCTCGGGGCAGCAGCAGGCCTGCAGTCATGTGCACAGGGCACACAGCTTGCACAGCCCCTTCCCTGTGGCACGAGGGTTCTGAAAGGAGCTTCTGCCACCAGGTCTTTCTGCATCTTCCGTCTAGCCTGGCCACTCATGTGGCATGAGACTTGCCAACTTCAACTCTAAGTCACTAGTATCAATATTTCAGCAGGGGCACGAATGAAAGAGACAGCGACTTTGCTCATGGTTGTAAAATACACATATGGGTAAATAAAGTATACACACATACTAGAGATTCGTCAATGGAGAACTTCTATCATCACATGACATTGTCATGAAAATTATACCATTCCCTCCCTGGAAAACTGTGACTATTATCCCGGGTAGAAATGTTATTTTACTATATGGAAATACTGCAATATTCATGCATAAACCAAGTTGTCATGAAAGTCAGTATTCTACAGCATAAAGCAAATCCTGCATGTGAATTTGTTATCATGAAAAAGGGAAATTTCCAAGACCCATGGTGCTTCCTCCCGCAAGGCTTGACTGGGCCTCTTGACTTGCCGTGGTCAATCTCAAGACACGTACCAAGAACATTAGAAATATTAGAAACCTCCCGGAAACAGATTCGCTGTGTGCATGCATCCATGGATCTGAATCTTTCCACTCCTTAAGGAGAGCAAAGAGCCTTTTTCCATTGGTCTGTGAGTCAGTGGGGAGAACCCCCGTTCCCACCCGCTCTGTGGATATGGCCATCTCTCCCATCCATCCGAGCGTGCGCTGCTTTGCATGTAAGCATGGCCAGCATAAACACTGTCTTTTAGGGCTCAGGCAGGTAACCTGTACAGGTGGAGGGGAGGTGATCATTGCGAACGTTGGGGCAGAATGCCCCAAGAGGGAATTTGCAACCCAAATATTTGATAATACCCTATCGGCAAAATACAGTGGTTGCACATACCCCTCAATGCAAGCCAACCAATGCACAGGAAGTGTAGCCCACACAAGACATCGTGTTTCTCCTTAACAACTTCTGTGTGTGCTTTACCCAAGCAGGAGATGAGAAGACTACTTCCTGTGATGCACCTGCTACCAGGAGCAGCAGACCCTAAAATGGCTTGCATGTGTGTATCTGGTGCGCAGGTGGCTTCCAATCACTTGGGGCTTTGCAAAAGCACTGGACTCAGCACTGTAAGGCTGCCCTTTCCCCAGTTCCTTCTTGGACAGAACCTTACGTGTAAGCCCCGATGGGAACTGAAGGCCAGATTCCCGATTCCAGTTGGAGGTGTGGGTGACTGCAGAGCTCCTCCCCTGCCCCCGAGGAGCAGAGCTCAAACCCAAGGGGTCTCAGCAGCAGTGGGCATCTGCCTAACGGGCACACACTGGCAGGAAATGGCCCTGGTGAGGTCAAGTTGGGGGAACTTGTGCCTGAATGATCTGTGTCTCTGCTGTTTTCTTTACACACCTGCTCCTTGCACTCATCTGGCAGGCTGGTCCATTACCCGTGTTTGGGCCGTTTGGGCAGGCTCCCTCATCACCGGACACAGCAGAAAACTACAGGCAGACGATGCAGGAAAGCATCAAGGGCTAACCAAGTGAAGAGGGTGGGAACTGCTGCCCAGCGTGTTTCCGGAGTTACTGCACTGAACACACATACATAGATATATATATATATATATAAAACAAGACCCATACAAAAGGAAATGCAATTTAGATCTAAGTTCTTTACTTCAGATTTGGCAAAACAATGTAATGGCTCTGAGCTGTCCGGGGATCTGGGGCTACAGCCACACAACCACAGATGCGGCAAGGTGGTGACTGTGCAGGGCTGGGGGTAGTCGATGTGCCGCTGCCTCTGGAAGCCCCTGCTGCTGACCGAAGCTCAGCCAGGACAAGCATGAGTCCCTGAGGTGAGGGCTCGACTCCGGGACTCAGGTTTTCCTAAGAGTCATTCTGTCAGTTGGGAGTTCTAGTGTTACTGATGAGAGCACTTTTAATAGGCAAAGCCTGGGGCTGCTTTTCTTACTGGTACTGCCTACGGCCAACAGCTTAGAGGAGGGAAGTATTTGCTCTAACCTCCCCCTCTGCAAGGCCAAGGTCACGTGACAACCCACAGAAAGTCTTCTGGAGCCAGAAGTGACAGAGGAAGTGGAGGAATGAAGTTAGCAGGTTGATGCACGATCCAATCCAGCGGCTCGGATAGCGGCCAGGCCCACCTCCCCTTCTTCATGAAACAAATTCACATGCAACTTGACCCATGGTGTCTGGGCTCTGGTCCAGTAGTCAGTGTTGATAAATAGATTAGGCAATTACAGTATTTACACTTTCATGGTATCAAGCAATACAAAACACAACCACAACGATGGTTACTGGCCTTCAAAAGCCATTACAATAAGCTTCCCTGATGGTGTCCACAGCTTTATAAATGCTGGTTCTTCTCTGAACAGGGGTAAGAGGGCAGGGGACACGTAACAGGGAGGCAAAGGGAGAGGGTCAAGGGGGAAAACACTGATCTCAAAAATCTGCTAGAGTCAATAACATTAAATAGGAAGAGGACCTCGTAATGGGAGACACGCGTGACGGGAACACCTGTCACAGCAGAGCCAAGCCGGACGCACATCTGAGCGGCGCCCTCTGCTGAGGCCTGAGAACCCGTCACGGCAGCCATCAGCGAACAATGCCCCGTTAAGGTGTCTCAGCCACTGAAAGGGGCCAGGGTTGGTGGGAAGAGAAAGGGCAACTGAGAACCCTATGAACTTTGGGTTCTTTGCCTTCTCCTCCAATCCGTCCCCTACCACGTGCTACCCACCAAAGAACTGCATTCAGTATTTGTCCAGACCCTACCCTAGCCCACGTCTGGGCTGAGGGCAGCCACGTCACTGTTTCTCATCAGATCATCAGCCTCCTTCCGGCTTACAGGTATACGGGGACCATAACACTGCCTGACCGATCCACTGTGACGATGTGAGGATACAGGGCCAGAGAAGGGGATCTCTACAGGTGCAAGCTGACATCGAGTGCAAAGGAAGCCCATCCAGGTGGTTCTGAGAGAAGGTTTCTGGGACCTGGGGGCAGTTTGGAAAAGCCAGCGCTGGATGGTGGAGGGGACTGAAGCAAGGAACTGCTGCAAGATTCCAAAACACCCACAGAATAGGCTGCAACTTCTAGTTCAGTGACCATGGCCAGCAGTGGACACTCAAAGGGTTTCAAGGGCTTCAAGAAAGGAGTCAGCTGAGACACCATATGGGACACGCACACACCCACTGTGCAGAAGCACGGTGCTTAGCTCTGGGGTGCAGAATGTAAATGCAGATAGACAGAGATTTTACTTCTTGTTACTCATCAAGGGAAACTACAGGGACGTGCCTTGCTGTGGCTGTGCCACAGGGCGCAGCTAGGGCTATACCGTGGCCCGTGAGTCTTCATCTGAACTCCGGCCGCTGTCACTCTTCCTGAAGGCTTTCCATGTGTAGCCCACGAACGTTGGGCTGATGGGTAAGTAGCTGAAGCATCTGTATTTCTTAATAATGTTCATGCCAAATGGCAGATTGTAGGATTCCATGCCATCCAGGGACTTGTTCCCCTTGCCCACACCTTTCTTCCACTTGCGGATCCCTCTTTCTTCTGGGGTACCTGCCACACACACACACACACACACACACACACGGAAATGCATAGATTAACATGATAATAAGGCCACGCTGCACACACCAGCCCACTGCAGCACCTCCTGGCTCACACCTGCCAGGTGACAACAAAGAGGCTGTGGAGCCCAAGAGATCTGGGTATCCAGCTATGCAAACCGGTCACCCACAGTACACCAAGCCCCCTCGATCCTCTGGGTGAATTCACTTATGCTCCATACCCCCGACCTGGCAGGCAATCCATACTTTCTACAGTTACTGTTGAGATCTGACTCAGGCTACACCATTACTTTCCAAGCCTTCTACTCTCCTCTAACTGGTCTCCTGCCTTCCACTGAACCAATTCCTGTCTCATCACATAATAAACAAAAGGTGCCTCTTGAAAATGCCACTCTGAGCTTGCAAAATAGGACTGGCATCTTGACACATCACATGACACCTTCCTCAGCCGGCCCCTACCACTCGGCCCATCCAGACATCCTGAACTCATGGGACACTTGGCCCTATTTGTGTGTGTGTGTGTGTGTGTGTGTGTGTGCGCACCTGTCTGCTGCATGTGGCCAGAGCCCTACCTATAACTGAATTCCCGCTGTTGTAACACTCCTGGTCACTCTGTGCTGACAGACAAACCAGGAGCATGATGAGGACATACAGAGCTCAGTGCCCTCTGGCCATCTTGCCACCGATCTCACCAGGCATGCAGGAAGGGCATGGGCAGCTGCTTCTTGGCTGCACGGGGGCACCTGGCACCCTTCTCTGCCCAGGCCTGGGTGAGCCTCATCCTACACTGTGCTAACTAGGATGCTTACAACCTCTTCAAATCCAAGCTGTGTCCTCTCACGGATGCTTCAGCAGAAAGGCCGATTTAATCTGCTTCTGCCTTACCCCCGCACCCTCTCTCTCAAGCAGCTCTGATAGGACAGGAAGAGGATGCCCACCACGGACTTACTGTCTTAAACCTAATGGTCCCAATCACCCGTGCATGCGATTCCCTCTGCCTGGCCCGTCTACTCCCTCTTTCCCCAGACACCTCTGATTCAGGCTTTTGGAGGTGGGTTATTTCCAGAGAAAAAAAACTCACTAAAAACCACAAGCCACCCTTCTTGGTGTATTTTACAATGGCACGGGGCAGTGTCCCAGGAACACCTCAGCCCCAGTGCTCGCCCGGGCTCAGCCCAGGACACAGCCATCAACCGGAGCAGTGGGAGCAGAAGAAGGGCCAGCTCTAGGCCTCTCATGCCATGGATCCTGGCATCACTGAATGCAAGTGCCACAGGCTGTTCACAGATCATAGTCACACTTAGCACTGCCCTGGGCACAGACAGGCTCCCTGGGCTGGAGCCTGGGGTGTGCCTTAGGCACCCCACTGCCACACTGGGGAGTCACCTGCTGTCACTGAGCAGTCATTCAGCAACAGCACCAAAGCTAAGCAGTTTAGCTGCAAAATCCAGAACCATGTGGACGATGAGGGAATACTTGGAACATTTTGGAAGATGGTTTTAACCACTTACTCTCCCTGCCTGGCTGGGGGCGGGGATAACCCATGTAATGAGCAAGTGACACCTGCCACCTACCTGGGATGGTGTTGTCCAAAATGAAAGCCACACAGCCTCCCACAAACATAGCGGTGGTGAGCAGGACGTTCAGCACTTGATCGATTCCTGTTATCCCTGGAAAGAGAACGCAGCCATGGGGGGTGTGGCCGTAGCAGGCAGGGCCGGCCTGGCCTCAGCAAGCAGCAGTGGATGCGCACAAGTCTTTCAGCGCAGTGCACGGCAGGGTGAGCTCCTCAGCTGAACATACGTAGACAAGCCGTGGCCGGTCACATTGGAACTACAACTGTTGTCAGTGACCTAAGGACATCTCCACAAGGAACAAGGGAGCCCAGGGGAACCCAGAAAGCGAACTAAATGGGGACATTCACCCTTAGTGAGCTATGAAGACACTGGGGTATTGTGGGCAGACGGAAACAGAAATGCTGCAAAGGTGAGGACGGATATGAGTAACAGGGCAGCAAAAACATCTGTGGTACCAGGAATGCAGAATTGTTGGTGTCCTGTGTTGCACACTAGAGCTCGGCTGTTCACTAATCTCGTTGTTACTAAGGAGTCCCCAGCCAGGTGTAACAGTCTGGCATAACCTCAAAGGGACAAACAGATTTAGTCAGGAAGTACCAAGTCCACTCCTAGGTGTACATCCGGGGCAAATGAAAACATGAACTGACACCCTCCAAGCTGGTGACTCCCGGAGTCCCTCCTGGTGAATTTCCCTGAGCACTGACATTCATTTGCAAACTCAAAATGAAGATAAGCAGTGCTTCTCCGCCTAAGTCACCCGACCCACACAGTCCCAGCTGAGGTCACTCCAGGGGAGAGATGCGCTCGCTGGCTTTTTAGTTCCGCCCATGCGGACGGCAGCCCAGTTAGCTCAGCTCTACCCTGTTTTGTGCTGCCTGCTGGTAGCTTTGCTGCTTACACGGGCCGCTCTGTGCCGTGTTGAAGCCGTGTGCAAGAAGCCTGTGACAGGAGTGCTAAGTTTCATGGGCTCGTTAGTCACAGCTCTCCAAAGACCAAGGGTGGCTCAGTACTTGTTCAACCTGTCCGTGGCAACTTCAGGGAGCGTAACGATTGTGAAAAAACAGTTCTGACGGTACATGTGCACCAGGACTCACAACGGCCCAAGACGGAGGCAGCCACAAGCACCGCTGGCAGAGGAAGAGGTCACCAATTAGGGCACACGCATACACTGGTGTGTTATGCGATGGTGCAAAGGGGCAGAGTATGCAGCAGGTGTGCACGGACACGGATGCCTCTCACAAGCACGCCGCCAGCCGTGAAGGGCCCGTGCTGCAGGAGCCCAGACCAGGAGGATCCGCACAGACCGAAGGCCGACGCACGGTGCCAGGGCTGATGGAAGGGACCTTCCTGCTAACCAAGCACAGAGTTTGGCTCAGACTGATTAAATGCTTTAGCGACCAGGACAGGCGGCTGTATAGCACTCTGAACGCAATAAATGTCACTCTGCTATTCCTTTTAAAATGCCTTATTTTATCCCGCCTGAAATTCACCTTCCAGCCAAACCAAATAAAAATGTATGTATGGGGCTCACCTTGCACACGCCATGATCCCATATGGGCGCCGGCTCTAATCCTGGTGGCCCCACTTCCCATCCAGCTCCCTGCTTATGGCCTGGGAAAGCAGTCAAGGACGACCCAAAGTTTGGGACCCTGCACCCACGTGGGAGACCTGGAGGAAGAAGCTCCTGGCTTCGAACTGGCTCAGTTCTGGCCACTGCAGCCACTTAGGGCATGAAACAGCAGATGGAAGAGCTTTCTCTCTGTCTTTCCTTCTTTCTGTATATCTGAACTCCCAAAAGATAAATAAATCTTAAAAAAAAAAAAAACCCATAAAAAATAAGGTTCCTTCTCTGTCCATTTCTCACAATATTGAGCCACTAAAATAAAAGGCAGCAATTGGGGCTTGTGGTGTGGGACAGCAAGTTAAGCCACCACTAGAATCCCATCATAAAGTGCTGGTCTGAATCCCAGCTGCTCTGCTTCAGATCCAGCTCCCTGCCAACGTGCCTGGGAAAGCAGCGGAAGATGGTCCCAGCGGCGGGGCACCAGCCACTCACATGGGAGACCTCGATGGAGTTCTCAGCTCCTGACTTCAGCCTGGACTAGCCCTGGCTATCCTGGTCACTTGGGGAGTGAATCAGCAAATGCAAAATCTTCTTCTCTCTCCCTTTCTAATAAAAGAATAAGTCTTTTTAAAATGTTTAAAAAAATAAAAAGTAGGAATTAAGACTGTTAATCTGGAACTGAAAGTCACTGTAATTTTAACAGCAAGATCCACTTCCCTTCCAGCTCCCTGTTTGTGGCCTGGAAAAGCAGTCGAGGACGGCCCAAAGCCTTGGGAACTGCACCCATGGGGGAAACCTGGAAGAAGCTCTGGGCTCCTGGCTTTAGATCGGCTCAATTCCAGTCATTGTGGCCACTTGGGGCATAAACCGGTAGATGCAAGATCTTTCTCTCTTTCTTTGCTTTTCTCTGTAAATCTGATCTTCCAATAAAAATAAACTTAAAAAAAAAACTTAAAAAAAAAAAAGAAAAAAAGAAGTTATACATCTTGGGGGTAACATAGTTGCACAGCCAGTACTGTGGCATAGTGGATTAAGCTGCTGCTTTGCTGGTACAAGTCCTAGCAGCTCCACTTCTAATCCAACTGCCTGCTAATGCACCTGGGAAAACATTGGAAGTTGTGAGTGGAGCTCCAAGCCCCTGGCTCCAGCCTAGCTGCTGTAGTCATTTGGGGAGAGAACCTGCAGATGAAGATCACTCTGTAATTCTGTCTTTCAAATAAACAAAATAAATCTTAACAAGAGATTCTAGATCTTAACGCAGCATGAGTTATGCAGAACAGGTGTCCTGAACCCAGTGAGAACCCTGCTCCCAGCTGTCACGGGTGCAGCTGTTACGGAGAGCTGCCCTGGCCAGAGTCAGGGGAGAAGCTGTCTGTGCTTCCAACCTTCCCCCACCGCTACCCTGAGACTGCTGGCTGCTGCCCTTACCTGTGACAAGCGGGTTTTGTCGTAGGTAACTGGGAAGCACGAGCCCAAAGAAGATGGAGAAGCCGAGCACGAACAGGTTCCGGGAAGAATTCAAATCAACAAACTGCAGGTTCGAGAGGCCAACAGCTGTGATCATCCCTGCAGGGGAGGACAGCAAGATGCACGGGTTCCCAGTGCAGCCCCAGCATGGCACGGACCAAGGCAGGCTCCCTTGGTGCCCTTCTACCCAGCAGGAACAGGCTGAGAACCCAGGAGCAGGGCAGCAGAGGTAGGGGTGGGGGCATGAGCAAACATCCAGTTGAATCGGGAAATGTACCCAACTCCTGGGTGCAAAGTCCCTGATGGCTGCAAGTGACCTACAAGCCCCCTTGATAACAGCAGTCAGTTCAGAAAGGCCAAGGCCCACTCATAGAACCAAGAGGTTCCAATCAGCCAAAAACGCTCAGTAAAGAGGTAGATTCTATCTCCCTTTTCATGGCGTAATTATTCTTCGTGCTGATATACCATGAATACACACTGAGCTCGGTATGATGCAGGGGTTTTTCTGGAAGGAGCATCCTTATGGTTCTGAAAGGGACACTGCTACCTACCATCAGCACCAACACAGTTTCCCTCATAAAATGCGCGAAGGTAAGGAAAACAGCCCAGGGGAGGCAGCGGGTGGAGTCTTACCGAACAGAGTGCAGAAGAGGGCTCCTAGCACAGGGTCTGGCAAGGATGCGAAGAGGGCACTAAACTTGCCAACCATGCCCAGGGCCAGCATGAGTGCCGCACCGTACTGGATCACCCGGCGGCTGCCAACCTGCAGGACACAGCAGAACAGACACAAACTCACCACCATCCTCGGGGGCAAGGCGGCAGGACCCCCAGATGACCCTAAACTTGCAGCTAGCAGATGGTGATCTCAATACATAACTACAGGTGACAGCCAGACCCTAGAGTGGACACACCCATCCACTGCTGTCCCTGGTCCCTGTTGTAGGTGACCGGAGCTCCGTCTTCCCTTCTCCACTGCCTGGACGGTGTGACCTAAGCACAGACCTTTGAACTCAGGCCATCATCAGGTTACTGGCTCAGTGACCCTCTGGTGTGCCAAATGCAAAAGATACACTCTGCCTACTTCTCTTCTTCTGGGTTCCTCACACCACCACTTCAGTTCGCCAGAAGCAATACAGTCTCAGGGCCATCTTCCTGCCACATCAGACACATCCTTGACATCTCTGCACCTTCTTCTCCTTGTGGTATTTTTCTCAGGAACTTTGGGGTCTGCTGCAAGAGCACACCCCACCCCACCTCAAAAGGCACTACTGTACAAGGTACTCACAGCTCCCCTGGGTCCCATAATCCTCACCTCTATCATGGATGAGCTGGGCCATTTTGCTTTAGGCAAAATGACACCCTGTTCGTAGCAGTCCCCGAGCTGTCCTACAGTCGCCCACCTAGGCATGCTGCCTCTGGCCTCTGTATACCCCCATGTGGTGGCCTCACTAAGGCACTGAGGTGGGGAAGTCAGTGTTTAAATCCCCCAGCACTCATGAAGTTATACAGACTTCTCTGGCTCTTTCTAGAAAGGCCACACCAGCTGGCAAGCTTACCTGTGTCCTAGCTCAGTCCCATAAGCATGCCAGGCATGCCCAGGCCTGTCCACCTGAACCCCGTTCCAGTCAGTTCCCATACATTCTCAATGCCCCTGCCTGGGCAATGCCTCTTCCATGTTCTAACCTCCACCTCCCTGCATGGGCTCCTGCCACGCCACATTAAAGCACACGCCACAGGGTGGTCTCAGCCTTCTCTGCTAAACCTGCTAGCTGCTTTCTAGCAGCGTCCATTTAACCTGCTATCACTCAGAAAGCAGGAGGTGGAACTGGCGTCTGGCCCAAGACTCTCATCCTGCAGACCTCTGCCCTGGAAAATGCCCTGAGGATGAATTCTGAGCAAAAAGGTTCCAGAAACACTTGGGGAGGCAGAGGCAGCTGTACATCCACAGAGGCTTTCTAAACCCCAGGTCCTCCTTTGCGCTGGACACAGGAAGGGTTCAGGAGGCAACCTTACAGGATGCTCCAAGCATGGAGCATGTCAGCCTGGTCCTCGGCTTCTCAGAGAGCATGCTAGGCTCAGCTCAGGGAGCAGAGCCGCACCTTCCTCTGCACAAATGAAGATGTTCATCTCTGTGGCCTCCATGCAGACCCTCCCCAAACCCAGAGGACAAGCAAGCAGGAAGGCAACTTTCCTTGACAAATGGCTTGGGTCTGCAGCCCACATTTGTGCAGGGACCTGCTATGCAACCAGTGCCAGTACAGAAGGGCAAGTCTCGTGTCTGGAACCAAACAACTGCCTGGCAGCAGGAAACAGAAAAGCTGAGTTGTAGGTGGTGTCCTCAAGGGGCTCTCAGGACATACACCAAGCCTGGGCAAACACCTCCAGCAGGGTCAGGCAGCCCCTCAGGGAAAAGGCAATAACACATGAAACAGCAGACGAAAATCATGCCTGGAACTGCCTTGGATATTGTCAGGGGAAAAGAAACAAACAAAAAAAGCAGCAGCCAAGAAATTCATCCATAAGACCCCTGTGCTCCTGGAACCTACACGGACAGACCTGTCTTCATTCAGGCTGCCTCTTCCCTGAAAATTTCTCTGCCTCTTCCCCTGACCTCCTGCTGAACCATGGCCCAGCCTGTGGCCCTAGGTGTATGATTCAGGGTGCAGAGGGCTGGACCAATGCTTGGGATGCCTGTAGACCCATCAGAGGTCCTGGCTCAACTCCTGGCTACTCTTACTTCCGAATCAGCTGCCCAAAAGGTAGCACAAGATGGCTCAAGTTCTTGGGTTCCTGTCACTCACAGGGCAGACCCAGATGGAATTCTAGGCTCCTGGCTTTGTCCTGGTATAGCCCTAAGCCCTTGTGGGCACTTGTAGGGAGAACCAGGGATGGATGGAGTATCTCTCTCTGCACTCTGATCCTGTATTTCAGTCTTTGCCAAGTCTTCAATAGTGTGGAATGTAGCAAAGCAGAGAGACCTCGGACAGTGCCAGGAGATGTAGTCTGGCAGAGAGGACTGACTCTGCTCCTCAAATGCACTAAAAGGTCAAAGCCACAGGGATGGCACTTGAAGCCCACTGTGTGTCTGCCACAGGCTTTGCCAAGTGCTTCATTCACACCAGGGCATTGCCTCTACCATCTTGCAAGCTATAGAAAAGACCCATTTTATAGACAAGGACCCAATCTACCCATGATCATGAGGCAAAAACAACAGAGCCAGGGCCAGAGCCCAAAGCAGCCACCTGCCCTGCCTGGGCACACTGTCCCTCTACAGGACAAACATCAGACCACACTCAGCACAGAAGGCCACACGTGGCTCCAACTCCTCGAAACCCCAGGGCACACTAGAGAAGATCACCTCAACCTATGGCCAAGCAGGTGAGAAATAAGTACAGTGGACACCGCTACTGAATAAAAGCTAGCAAGCATGCGAAATGCGAAGACTGCCACACATGGCCATTCAATGGAACTTTCCATGACACCTGTGCTGATCCCTGGTGACCACTAACCACCTGTGGCAGTTGAACCTTTGACAGCTGGGCACTATAAATGGGCAACCAAACTCCTAATTCAACTTGGCTGCATGTGCCTATTTTACTCTGGAGAGGCTAAAAGCTGGAGCTGTGGAATCGTGGGACCTTGGAGACGAGCCCCATACTTTCACCTGATCTGGCCCAAGCACTTCAGCTGGACGAGAGCTAGCAGTTCCTCCCTCCTGGGCAGGGAGGGCACTGGCACAGGGCTTGTGGTACAGCAACATGCCTGTGGCAAAGGACTCAATTAAACCTTTTTTTCCCTTTTTTTTTCTTTTAGTTTTCTCATGGAACCCAGTCGTGTGATTCAGGGCAATGCCAGGGCTGACACCTTGCTCTTGACCAAATACTGGGGAAGTACTCCAATGGCTAGGTCCAAAGGAGCTTAGGGGCTAGACCAAGGAGCTCACTCATTAGATATAGCATGGGCAGGTGGTGGTGGTGGGGGGGTTGTCCAGAAAAAGTGGGCATCATTCAAATTTTAATAAAGATAATTATCCCCCAACAACCCTGGACATGTTTCAGCAGAAAACTTTAAGGAGCTTATTCCCTTTGGTGGCCTTGGAGTGACCCTGGCTAAATTAAGGGATGTGTTTGTTCTTAAAGGGTACAGAAAGGGAGGCAGCTTGTTAAGCAGTCCCCTTAGGAGTCAGCCCTCCTGTTCCAAAACTTTAACTGTCATCTGGTTTGGAATTAACTTTGTGCCTATCAGCTCGTGGCAGCAGACTGGCTCCAGTGGTATGGCTTGTAGCCCATCACACTCTACGTTCTCACTGTGGCCAGCCAAGAGGACCCACAGGGATGGTCCTCTCTCATCTGCCAGGTACAGGGAGCAACAGGCAGCAGATGGGGCTACGAGCTTGGCTAAAACTGTGCTCTGGGCCCAGCCTGGCCAACTCAGGGAAAAACCAACAAACAGCTCAGGTGTGCACCTGCAGCCATGTACTGCTCCCTCCCACCTGGCTGTATCATCAAGATCAGCCAAACCCAGTGTCTGGTTTCCTTTTATCTGGTTATAGAATCTCCCAGGGAGCTGGTGGTTGGGGGGCAGATTTCCTCTGGGATTTACATCCGCCCCCACATGCTGTCTAATCTTACAGCAGTAACCAACTACCACAGCTACAGGCAACTTCCTGCTCACTCCATGCCATGGCGGGAGGGGAGGCCGGTGTCTCGCCTGGGGTCAATGTGGAGTGGGTGCCTCTGTTCACAGACTCTAGTGGGCTCCAACAACCTGTGGCCAGTGGGTTGGCTGTGTTCTTTAATGTCATGCTCAAGGCAAATGGGACCTAAAGTTTGTTTTCTGGTGATAAAACTATATATAAGGCCTGGGAGCAGGCTTCTCACAGAACCTGGAACTGGGGGGTGAGCACACGCCAGGTACAGACCTAGGGGCTTGTTTCTCCCACTGGACTCAACATCACGTTTGACTTGAAAAAGAAAAGAGCTGCTGGGATTTGACAGCTGTGAGTTGTGTAATGCCAAGACTGACCTCATCTCTGATCTAAAACAAGTGATAAACAATAGGTCTCCCCTACCTGCTCCCCCATGGTCACAGCAGTCAGAATGACTGGCATCCCCTTATCATCGGTGCCCAGGGCTGTGGCAGAGCTGGCATGAGCTGGCCCTCAGCACACTGTCTGCTCTCTGCTCTGACTCTGCCCTTGCTGGCCCTTTACTGCCAGGGAGATGGTGCACGAGGTCCCTGTCTCAACACCTCCCCACCCCAAGTTTACCTGCAGGCTCTCTCCCTCCACCCTTGAGTCCTCTGTCACGGTCACCCTCTCAGTGACACCTGGCTCTCCCCTGATGTTCCCACGCTGCCCCAAGCCTTGGCAATGGATGTCTGTCACGGTAAAGTAAGGTTTGCTGACTGTTGATCTTTGCCTTGCCCTTGTTACAACGCAAACTCCACTTGACTCGCCGGTGTGTTCCTCACGAGTGCCTGGAACCACGGCCTGGCACAGGTGGGTAGGTGAAGGAAGGACAGCCCGAGTGCCTCACGGGCTAGCCCAGCCTGAAGCAGGGAAGCCTTGGCACAAGCACTGCCAACACCCTTCCAGGGGAAAACAGGAGTGCGGGCAGAAGATCTCCAAACCTGAGTCCCTTCCTTTAGGGAAACACAGCGGTCAGACCAATCGCTGAAATGGACAAACCCTTCGAGGCGCCCAACTGGGTAATGAGGAAAATGTTTGTACCTTTGTAATTCCCAAAACTCCAATGTTGGGACTGGATGATGTAGAGCCATTCCCAGTACCAAATATGCCATCGAGAACACAGGAGAGACCCTCCACGAAAATCCCCCTAAAAGGTAAAGCACAGGGGAGGGAGAAAGACATGTTCAATGGCAAAACACTCTGGACCAGGCCCTGAACATCTGAACACCACAGACCTGCAGCACCAGCACCCACGTGGGGCCCCGGGGCAGGGGTCAGGCACCCAGTCTCAGGCCCCAGTCCAGACCTTCTGTGGCAGGACCAGCAGTCCCACGTGCTGTGTGGGGCTCAGCCAATCAGGAGAAGGCCCTCTCTAAAGCACTTATCTGATGCGGGTATTGTGTAATGGTTCCATAAGGAAAACAAAAAAATAAACCGAACCAAGGATGTGGGCCAAAATTCAAAGCTATTTCCTGCCATGTAAGACTAACACACACCTTAGCTTCCACTGAAAACAAAGCGTAACTGGTCCTTCACTGCTAAGACCCAGTGTCAGCAGGAAGGAACTGTTCTGTTAATTTCAACATTAAAATTCTGCCACCACCACATGCAGTCGCTCTAACTGAAAAGATATAGGAACTTGAAAACCCCTATCCAGAACCCCCTCCAGCAGTGTACACAGATGGCATGCCCTCTGGGCTTGTCACATAATGTCTTCTGCAAGAGGGGAAGCAGGTTGGGGAATGGCTGTGACATGGGCTGGGTCCTAGACTCCTCAGCCTCTCTGGGGACAACTCACTACCAACTTCCAGAAGGCAAGGCCATCCCTGGGCCCCCAGGTCAGAAGTCTCTAGGTCCTGGATACTTTAGTTCCTGGTCTTCCTGTCGCTGTGTCTAAGAAGTGCCATTGTGAGCAATCACACAGCATCTCCCCTTAAGGGCAGCAGGCCATGGGCATCTGACCTCGAGGGGTGCCTGCCTGCTGCTATTTCCACTACAGACAAGAGGGGAAAAAGTGTCTGGCTACGGCAGGTAAAACCAAAAGGGGGACCACAAGAGGGAAACAGAGAACTTTTGCAACTCAAAAACAACCTCTTTTAAATTTATATGGAAAGAGAAAACAAAACAACACAACAGCTGGGAAGACTGTAAATCAGACATAGTTATTTTGGAAATGACCAAGCAAGGGCCAGTGCCTGGCAGGTGGAGTGGCACGTCTCTCAGAGACTGAGATTCTGGTCTGGGACCTGTCAGACCCACCACAATGGCTCCAGCTCATCAAAACCTTTGTGTTTTTCTCCAAGCTTCCCCACATCAAAGCACAAAACAACACACATGCTGGGGGGCTGGGGGAAGGGGGGAGCGGGGGTGGTGCTGGCATGGAACTCATACTCCAGGGGATGTACCTGTTGATTGCATGGATGGGAGGTGGGGGGGCACAGGAGAGCCTGGCGCAGGCGTAGTAGTCGCCGATGGACTCAATGATGCTGGCCACCACTGCGCTGAGCATGCCGATGACACCTGCTGCGGAGACCGTGGGCAGGCCCCATTGAACTGAGGAGAGAAGCCAACAGTGAGAGCCCCCAGAGGGGCAGCCAAGGCCTCCCCGGCCCTTGAGCCCTTGGAGGCTTCACAGAACAGTCCAGAATCCACTGGCATTTCAAAGCTCATAGAAATCTGTGAACAGATCTTAATTCAGTGCACAGATACCTGGGGACAGCAGTGATGAAGTTAGCGCCTAGCAAGGGTTGACTTCCCTTGTGTCTGAACAACAACAAGGGCTGGAGAGGTGGCTCAGCAGCAGGTAAAGCCAGTATCTACAGTGCCAAGATCCCTACAGATGCCAATTTAAGTCTCGGCAGCTCCGTTTCCGATTCAGCTACCAGCTGATGACTTAACTAGAACAAGGTGGCCCAAGTGCTTGGGCTCCTGCACCCATGTGGGAGACCCAGAAGCAGCTCCAGGCTCCTGGCTTCAGATTGGCCCAGCCGCAGCCAATGCAGTCATTTGTATAGATGGAAGATCTGTCTCCCTCATCTTTGTCCTCTCTGTAATTCTGCCTTACCAAGAAAAAAACAAATAAATCAACCCTTAAAAAAATGAGGAATCCCTTGGCTAGAGAAGACAAATGCTTCTCTCCCTACTTCTGCCACCCTCAGTGTCTGCTAAATACAACTTAGTTCCGCTTGCTGAGAAGGGACGGAAGCCTGCAGGAGAGGGGTTCCCAGTGCAGACCGCAGGGTACACACTGCGGCCACTCTAGCCAGCAGAGGCCTCGTGTGGGCAAGTGTGAAAAGTCACCAGCCACACCAATTCCAACAGCAAGGCATGCCCAAGGACGAATCAAAGCTCCCCAACACATGGATGGCACTTAAATTAAAAACTCAGGGAAGGGCCCAACAGCGTGGCCTAGCGGCTAAGGTCCTCGCCTTGAACACGCCAGGATCTCATATGGGCGCCGGTTCTAATCCTGGCAGCTCCACTTCCCATCCACCTCCCTGCTTGTGGCCTGGGAAAGCAGAAAGCAGTCGAGGACGGTCCAAAGCTTGGGACCTTGCACCCGTGTGGGAGACCAGGAAGAAGTTCCTGGATCCTGGCTTCAGATCGCCATAGCATCGGCCGTTGCGCTCACTTGGGGAGTGAATCATTGAACAGAAGATCTTCCTCTCTGTCTCTCCTCCTCTCTGTAATCTGCCTTTCCAATAAATGAATAAATCTTTTTTAAAAATTCAGGGAAAATTAAATAGTTCCATTCGAAAAGGCAAGGAATAGTCCCACTGTAATTTCATTTTGAGTGCCTGGATTCTCTTCATAAAAGGCTTATTTCTTTAAAAACCCAGCTTTGTGGACACTGGAAGGTACAGATGTTACTTAATGAAACTAGTCAAGCGTTTCCTTGTAACATCAGAAGGGGCAGTGCTGGAGAAGGTGATCAGCCCTGGTCCAGGAGTCCCTGGTTCTAACACGCCCACGAGGCTCCCAGCAGGGAGACACAGACGGTGCACAGCTCAGGTCTCTCCTGTGGATGCCAGCATCGCAGCAACACTCGGAAGACCTAGGAGCACGGTCACTGCTTTGACTTCAGAGGAAGTGAGTCACATGAGTGTAAGTGAGGAGGTCTGTCCCTCTGCAAGGAAGGAATGGGGCAGGAGACAGGAATGGAGGATGGCAGGGACCTGGGTGCGCCAACAGGCAGGTGCCTGGCAGGGTCATGGGGTGGGACAAATGTAGGACAGCCAGACAGCCACCTGCAGGGCTTGTTCTGTGCAGCCTGGGTAGGAGCACAGCCACAGAGGAAGATGATGCACAACTCAAAGCACAGCCATGACCTGAGGGAGAGAGGAGAACTGCTCCAGCCCAGTGCTGGCCGCTCTGGGCATGTCTTGGTTCCACCTGTCCCACAGGCAATGCACTTGGCCGACACCTCCTCTCGGGTGGCTTGGAATGGCTTGTTACCATTCAGAGGCTTTCTCCATCAAGTCACATTTTGAATTTCCTATAGAACCTCTCACACTGTCATGTCATTACCGCCATGGCCTCATGGCTTCATTCTGCTGCTATCTTTGCCGCACACAAGTTGAGCATCCCTAATCTGAAAACCTGAACAGATCCAGACTCGGCAGCTTTTCCAGCACCAACACAAATCCGCGAGTAGAAAATTCCACACCTATTTTCACATGACTGGTCAATTAAAATACAGGTCTAGTAAAAAATCATAATAAAACTACCTTAAGGCCATGTGTATAAGGCAAATATGAACCATCAATGAACTCCGTGTTTATTCCTGTTCCCATCCCTAAGATAATTCTTTCTGTAGTTGTAAATATTCTAAAACGTGGGACGGTGGAAATTCAAGGCCCCAAACCCTTCCTTCCTCCAAATCATTTGAGAGGTGGAGATCAAGAGGGACAGATGGACAGAGCTGTTTCACTCCCCATATGTCCACAATGGCTGCGTCTGGGCTGGGCTGAAGCCAAGGACTCAGTGCAGGGCTCCCAAGTGCATGGCGAGCACACAGGTCCTAGAGCCATTACCTGCTGCCTCTCAGGGGCCTTGAACCCAGTACACCGATGAGGAACGCCAAGCATCCTGCCCACTGAATCAAACACTTAGACTCCCTTTGACCTGAAGTCCTGAATTTTGACTTCTGAAATATTTTATTACTTTGACACCAACACTACACATTTGTAATCTTAACAACTGCTGACCCCGTTCTGTGCGTGTGTGCGTAGGTACATGCATGCATTCTGAACCTTGGCTGGCGCTTGCAGCCTTGTGACTTCCCCCAGTTACGGCAGCCCTGTCGCTCCAGGCAGCCACCTCACCCAGGGGAGCTGCAGCAACACAGCAGCTCTCAGCAGGCACAGGCTGCTGTGAAGGAGCAGCCTGCCACGCTGGCTCACCCCAGTGACACTGCGTGTGCTCCTGTGCTTAGCCACACCTCCTGTGGCCGGACCCCCCTCCCCATGAGAGACACAGGGCAGCTGCTTCTCCTGGGTCCCCTGTGGCGCTCAGCAGGGGAGCTGCTGGCTGCCCTCCCTGTCCCCACGTCTCCGCCAGACAGCCTCACCATGAGATCCTTAATCTCTTTATCTTGAATTACAAGTATGCTTATACACGGTGCACATACGCTTTTGGAAACAGGATACTGAGACATATGATCGGATGGGAATGCTGTTTTAGGAAGAGAAAGCTTTTTGGAGCTTTTGGAAATGTACTGAGTATAGTCAGGGACACCTGCCAACCCTCATCATTTGTCAGGCAGAGGGGCGTCACTGCAGACCCCACCCTTAGTATTCTTGGCTTTGTCTTTTTTCCTTGTCGATTTAAACTATGAAAACAAGAGAGCCAAGGAGGGGGACTAAATGGGCCCACCCTAAGCTTTGGCCTTGATTCTCACAAAATCCCCAAACACGGGAACATCTTCACAAGAGAGCGAGTGAACAGATCTGCCCTGCGTTCCTCTAAGCCCCCTCTGGGGCTGTCTGGTAAGTGGTACCCATGAATGCACATCACAGTCTCACCCCCTCCAAGGAGTTGCCCAACATTCAGGTTCCAACTTAAGCTCTGTCTTCCGGGCCTAGGGGAATATCAATTTATCTCCATGGCTGAGACCAAGTGAAAAACATTATGGCCACTTGCTTACTAATCTCCAGGTGCCTCCCACTTGGCAGCTCTACAGCTGCCTGTAGTCCTGGCCCCCAGGACTCCCCACTGGCAAGGGTCCCTGTCTAGCCTGCATCCCAGCAGAGCTTGAAGAGGCCGATGGGTTACGGAAGAAGGGAGCAGCTGGGTCTGAGCTGGGCAAGCAAGGGGCACTTCACTGCTGCCCTCTGGGACCCTGTCGTCTTCTACTGACCAACATGGTGAGACCTGCTATGCAGCCCAGGACAAAGAAAAAAGGTTTTTCTGTGTTTCCTAGAGACTTCTGCCAACCCACAAGGCGTCTGAGCAGAGACCGTCCTGGGCTCCCTCCCACCACAGGCCAGCAGGATACTTACATGGGTACGGCACCTTAAACCACGGGGCCACCAGGAGCACGCCCTGCCGGGCATCGGTGCGGGCGTAGAAGCCATACTTGGTGCTGTCAGGAGGGAAGACATCCGTGACCGTGAAGATGAAGCAGAGCAGCCAGGACACGAGGATGGCCAGGATGATCTGAAGGGGCAAAGGGAAACACTCGGTTAGGCAGACACAGCACCCGTGACACTACACAGCTTGCACATCACAGCCCGGAGCCCCAGCTCAGAGGCGCCCTGCAGCTGGGGAAGGCCACAGGTCATCAACAGTAACACTGCACCTGCCCAGATCTCTCTCTCTCCCTCTCTCTCTCTCTCTCACACACACACACACACACACACACACACACACACACACACACACACACACACACACCCACTGGCCCTGGGGACAGGGTCCTCTCTCTCATCAGCCCTGTGGCCAAGCTTCCGACCAGGAGCCTCCTAGGTCCACAGAGTCGGGTGGTTGTGAGCACCCAAACTCGCCACCACATCCTTCTCCATCTCAACAGTTTATACCAAGACCCAAGGTGACAATGTGCTTGGGGCTACTCACAGGGAACATCTTGAAGAGCTGCAGCTTGTACGCTGTCCACCCTTTCTTGGATTTATAAATCGGAAGGGGAAACTTGACATTTCTGGCATATTGAGAAAACAGCAGTACTAGGAAAATGGTCCTGTGGAGGGAAAGAAAAATAAATGAGGTGAAAGTGTATTCTCTCAGGTCCTTAAACACTCAAAGCTCTGGCAACAGAACCGACCACGCGCACGCACGCGTGTGTGTGTGTGTGTGTGTCTGTCTGTGAGCCACCTCTGTGGAAGGCAGTGGGGCCTCTGCAGGACTGGCTGGGAAGTCAGACCCTTAAAGACACCCCCATGGTGAGGACGCCCTGGCTCACTTCCCCTGCATTCCCCAATGCTGAAGTGAAATGGCGATATCATTGCCTTAGCTGGGTTTTCACAAACAGAATAAGGATATGTACAACGAGGTACGTGCTCATGTTCTGGAACACAGCACAAAGCACAGGGCAACTATAACCAGGAGTGAACTCAGAAGCAACTCCCTCCCCTGTACGCATGCACATGCAAAAATGGGCAGCAAGGACAAAAAAGGGTCCCCAGAAAAACCACACCCAATGGCTCACAACGAGTATAAGTAAGCAAACCATGAACTGCTGTATTTAAGAAAAGTATACACATAACCAGTATGGAACTCAGTATGGAGAATGCTTAGAGAACTCCAAATAAACCTTCCAGATGTCCCAGCTATCCTGTTCCTAGGAATATATCCAAAGGAAATGAAAACTGCACACGAGAAGGGGGTCTGTAAGCCTGTCTTTACAGTAGCAAAGACATGGAAACATCCCAGATGCCCATCCACAGAGGAGTGGCTAAAGAGATTATGGTACATCTGCTCCATGTGAATTCTACTCAGTCATTAGAAAGAACGAAATTCCACCATTTGCAACTAGATGGTCCCAACCAGAGACCATCATGCTCAGTGAAATAAGTCAATCCCAAAAGGACAAATGCCGTATGTTCTCTCTGATACAAGGCAGCCTTCCATGAAAACTGTAAGACCAACAACTGCAACCCATGGGTTTTGAAATCTTTGTTTTTATTTTCCAGTTCCTCCAAATAGTTTCTTTTCTCTTATCAAATTCTTCACTGACTCATAGATCACTTACTAGCATCATTCTACCCAAGAAGCTTTTATGTTTTCTTTTTCATTTCTTCAACAATACATTAGTTCTTCAGTAGCATGTTGTTTAAATCCATGGTGCTGTAAAATTTGTGTTTTAACCTCATTCCTGTTGTTGACTTTGTTACATGGCTTCTCATTAAAGGGAATGTAGAGTCGCAGCGTAATAGACTATTATATCCAGATATGAAGATATAATGCAGATTGCATTTCTACTTCCAAATCAAAGATGGACTCCCAATGAAAGTGTTACATATATCTTGACTATAGGATGCTGGTCTATCTGGCATTGTCTGTATCAGCAATGTCAAGACACACTTAAATATAACAGACTGATGGACTTATAACTGCTTTTGAAGGACTATACTATTGTAATGATATGGGGGAAATTAGTCGGGGGGATGGGAATTTGGGGACGGGTAGGGAAATCCCAAGACCCAATGGAATTGTCCCATAAAATTCAGAATTTTTTTAAAAGTACACATGTTAGAACTCAGGATAAAAGATATTCTGGAGAGGCGTATGACACAGGCCAACATGTGTATCATCTTAGCCTGTTGGGGCCAGTGCCTGCTGGGTCACCTTTAACACTGGGACAAAACCAGTGGCCTAAGGACTTACTGCTGGGCAGGGCGACGGGGTCAGAGGTTGATCTCTGCATCCTGAGCCTGTCCCCGGCACAAGGACAGGGAGGCCTAGGCTAGCTACAGAGGTCCCTAACCTTTGAGCCTCACCAGCGAGCCCTACAGAAACAGCGACAGGCATCTCTCTATGGTGGGACCCTGACACTTCCGTTGGTGGCCCTTGTGGCTGGCAAGTACAAGAGCACTTCTCCCTCCCGGAGCAGTTTTACTCGCAGCCAAAACAAGGAAGGAGGGCAAGACCGTGCCTGTTCCCCCATCCCCAGTGAGGCCAGTTCAGGAACTCAGGCACAACCTGAGGATTTGCTGGCAGGAAGGGCCAGTTGCTCAACAACAAGCTTTCTCATTCTTGGGCTTAATTCCAGCTGCTGAGACGGATTTAGCAGCCTCGCTAACAGCTGGTCAAGTGCAGCTTCGCTGTCACACTCCTAATGAGGCATAGGCTGCAGCACGGAGGGCAACAGGCCTGTGTGCTCCATGGTGCTCCCCAGCTGCTAAGGCACTGTGGGGTCATGACCCCGAGACCTTTAGGAGTCTCTGCCAATACCACCTCCAGGTTGAAAACACCCACATATGCCCAAGTTACTGCAGCTCCTCTGGGAGTCAAGTTAAAAAAAAAAAAATCACAGCAACAAGGGATACCACACCTGGCCTCTTTTAACCTCAAAGCAGCATAAAATCTTTCTTGGAAACATACACGCTACTTATTTGTTTCAAAGTGAATAATCCAAGGATCCAGAAAAGCTCCAGGTCAGCTGCTGACCGCGTCATTATCTCAAGCACCTGTACCACTGCCCACTTCACAAGGCACACTCAGGAGGTGTGAGGGCCAGAGTCTGGGAAAAGACATTCAGACCTCATGCCCAGGATCTAGCAAGGAGTTATCAGACAGGTGGACACTACATTTTCCCCCAGCTGAACCCATGTAAGTTCAATTTGTCTGTTCTCAGATCACCTCCCTTGCAAGATGGGCAAGGACAAGGCTCTGAGGTATTCACAGGGCATGGATCTGGAACGGGGAAGGGTCAGCCCCAGAGCCTTGCCCTTCTTGCTCCTACACCTGTCCCCGGAGCTCCTTCTCTAACCCACGCCAGGAGTACACACTGTGCACTATTTCCTAACTGGCTGTTGGCACTTACTAATGGCAAGGACACTTGTACCTGAACAGATGGAGATGTGCATCCATGCCTTAGAGGCAGCTAAGCATTCCACTTTGTGGACGACCACATCTGTTTAACAAGCCCATGTTGCAACACTCGAAGCACAATAAGCATCTTTGTATTCCCATCCAAGGATACCCACTTGCTGCTCACGGCAAAGTGGCATCTCACCATTCTCAATCCCGGACAACCAAGTTCATTTGGCAAACTGTTATTGTCATTCCTTTTAATATGTTTTCAGTTCACATGAGGATCTGTATTGCAGCACTGCTCCCACCAGCAAACACCTTAAGCCACAAGCATGAGGAATGACATGGGGAGTGGTAGTGGAAGGCGGGTGTCCTTTATGCTATTCTCTGTACTGCAGCAAGTCAGGGCCTGCTGTGGGTGCGATCCGATCCATCCCCCTTCTGACAGCACAGGGGAAGACTGAAGAACCCTGCACCCAGTAACTTCTATTCTCCTAACATCTACCTTAAGAAACATCTCCCCCAACTTACGATTAAATATTCATGTCGGTTTTCTTCTGGTCCCTTTACAGTTTCCTGTATTCTAAGTGTTTGACTCACCTGCAGTCACACCTGATATAATGCAGGGATCTCACTTTTTTTTCCAGGATACTCACCTAGGTTTTCCTGCATGGACGGTTTACCTTGTCCCCTGGCTCATCATCCCACCCTGCCCAGTGTTCCTTGGCCCTGCCTCTGTCCTTCGTCCCATTCTGTTGCAGCAGTGTCTACCCCTGTCCGGGAGCTCTGCAGGTTCCTGTGGCCCTCCGCCTGCCTGTGCTGGTTCTCATCCATGTCCTTCTGTTTTCCTGTCTCGTGCACTGCCTTGCACACACAGAGATGCCTGGGTCAACACCAGCCACCAACAACATGCCAATCTTAGTTTTGTCCGGCTGTTGTCTTTCAATATCCAAGTACAGAGAATTTTCAAAGCCTTTCCATGAGAGACCCTTCTATTCTCCCACTGCTGACAGCAGGGACGTGGGCGCAGGCTAAATTGGATCAAATATTTTTGGAAAACAGTCATAGTGACTCTTATGAATGAAAACCCATGAATGAAGTAATTAATGGACTTGTGTTGAGTTTACTTAGTACATTTTCCAGTATTTCATCATCCTTGAATTCCTGAAAGGACACACAAGACACTGTTCTTTCATTGTAGTATTTCTAGCAGTATTTCCCTGCACCACACTCCAATGAAAATCCTTCTAAGATAGGTTCATAGGTGAGGCATTAAAAAAGCAAATTCAGTGGAAGTGGTGGTGGTGGGTGCCAAGCCCTGTTTTTGGTAAAGAACACTCTTTTGCACCTGAAACACTGCAAGGAGCGACCGCAGGCAAAGGTGCCGAGCTCTGACATGCGCCCTGGACGTGCCTGAACTCACGGCCCTTTGCTTGGAACACGAGCGAGGAACACCGATCAGCACAGCTGAGCTCTGCCTTTCATAACCAGCGAGGGTCCAGAGTTCTCAGAGGGAGGGTCCAGCAGCTGGCTGGGCAGTTCCCCAGGCGTTCTCAGAGCTCCGGGACAGTATAACCCATGCATGACATCCCGAACATTCAACATTATTTACAGTCAGGACCCAGGATCTGTTACAGATCAATACTCTTAAACGGCATTCTCGACTTTCCCCCTGGTCAAGGGCTTTGCACCTCCCTGCTGCCCTCACTCAGCAGCCCCTGCTCTGTCTGACACTTGTCCACTGGTCAAGGGCTTTGGCATTTCCCTGCTGCCTTCACTCAACAGCACCTGCTCTGTCTGACACTTGTTCTCTGGTCAAGGGCTTCACACCTTCCTGCTGCCCTCACTCAACAGCACCTGCTCCGTCTGAACAGAAGCTGCGCCAGGAGCGGCAGGTGCTAAGGTGACTGGCCTAGAGCTGAGGCCCTGCCTGCATGGAGCTGACAGTCCTAGGTCAAAGAGCTCTTAGAAACCAAAACCCACAAGAACAGAAATGAAAAGCTTGACTCAAAAAACACAGGTAAAGCAAGACAGATTCCCATGAACTGAGAAAAAAAAAAAAAATGAAGACAGCAGGGAGAACCTAGCAGGTCTGGCATCTGCAGACAGCAGGGAAGATGTGTGAGTGATCCAGGATCATTCCCGCCTGGATTCTGCAAGGGACAGGATGCTGAGCGCTGCCCTGAGAGCTGCCAACAGACCCAACTCAGGGACAGAGGTACAAGGAAACAAGAACACTGAAAAGCCTCCAGGAAGCGTAGCTTCTGTCCTGCCCAACTCTCAAAGGGACAGAAGCGGGGCACGTGTCTCGCCTAGAGGCTAAGATTTTGATTAAGAGTCCCACATCAGTCCTAGCTCTCATCCCCAATCCACCTTCTGGCTCATGCAGATCAGCGGAGGGAAGTGGTGATGGCTCAAGTGCTTGGATGAGTTCCTGGCCTTCCAGCTTCAGCCTCGGCCCAGATCTGGCAGCTTTGGGCTTCTGGACAGTGAACCTGCAGCTGGGGGGAGCTCTATTTATCTGCTTCTTCATCTTGTCTGTCTTTTAACTAAAGGAAAAAAGCATTGAAAGGCAGGAGTAGCAGAGGCCTGGAAAAATCAGGAATGCTCAGGAAGGCAGTAAAAGAGAAGAGGGAACAAGAGCCGAAGGTGCTGCCCGGGAGAATGGCAGCAAAGGTCCAGAGAGGCGTGCAGACCTGGGGGGTTTGTGAACAAGGAGCTGGAAACAGGACTGGGAGGAGGAAAGAACTGAGCACAGCTCTAGGCTGGCCTGGTGTAAGCCACACAGCTGCACCATTTCCCAATAAACAGAAGAAACGCACACAAGGAGCCTAGAGTCCAAAGATCCTTCCCACTTAAACTGGGAGGTGTCCTACGGAAAGCTGAGTGCAGAGCGCAGGCTGGCGGCTCCTGGCTCTGCCCTGTGTGTTGGTGTGGATGTCTCTAGCTCTGAGGCCGGTGCCATGACGACCCCAGTGGGCAGAGGTCACTATTCGGCTCTTCGTATTTTATTTTTGTTGTGTGTTCATGTGGGAGCAGGTAGTGTGGGCTCCCCCGGGTCTGCGGGTCCTCTTGTCTGAGCTTAGCTGTACCACACCTTGTCTACACTGGCTTTCCTCTCAAAGCATCACTCTAGATCTGTTACTTCTGTTCACTCTGTATGTACTGTATCGGCGCTAATTCTCCCCTCCGTGCCACCAGCAGGCCCGCGGGGGAGCCTGCTTTTCTAAGTCGCTGAAGCTAACACCAGAATGACTCTGGCCCCTCTGAGTGTGACTGGTGCTGTGTCATTTGCTAAGCAAGGGCAAAGATCCCATTTCCTCTCTGCTCAGGAGGTATTAATAAAAAAAGGTTCTATTAGCTTCCGAGTTGGTTGGTTTCTTTTCTCCCTTCTCATTCTCTCGTCAGTGGCTCCTAATTTTATGGTATTCCAAGCACAGCTTCTCCCTCATGGCACGGCCTGCACTGCAGCAGGCCTCCACTCTCACAGGTTGCCCACCTTCAAGCAGGCCTGGGGCACCTGTGGGGCAACTTCTGATGAGAGGAGGAAAAACTAAAGCTCATTTTGATACTGCACACTTCTAAACCTGCAAGTGTATGCAAACCACAGTGCTGATCCACTTCCTTCGCATATTACATCCTGAGGTACGAGTGGGAACGAGGGATGGGGCTCCCGGGGCAATGGGGTTCTCAAAGCTGAACTTGGCTGTGGGACTCCTGGCCATGACACTCAGCTTCGCCCCGAGCTCCTGCAGCTGGTCCGTGGGAACACTGAGAGTCTACCCCGTGATATGGACACGACGTCTAAAACCCACTGTCAATTCTGCCTGCTTTTAGAACTCACAGAATATTTCACAACGCAAGAAACTAACCAGAAACAAACCCCGGGCAATCATTTCTGACATACTTTGTTTCAGAAACGTCACGGGCTGGCAAAACTGCCAAGCCTGGGAGTGTCTATCGCAGACGTAACCAGTCACTGCCCAAGCACCACACACATCCACAGCAGGAGGGACTCTCCACCCCATGCCCACTGTGCACAAACATGACGGACCGGGGACAGCCCGAGATGATCCGATGCTCTGGGTTAAGGGACCACTGTGTCCCAGGTGGAGAGTGCAGACTCCGCCATGGGGGCACAGCTTGGCTGGGTGAGCTGGGTCTCACCCACAGTGTCCATGGAACCCTCTGCAGCTCCTTATCTCCTGCTGCCCTGAAGGACTTGTGGGGTCTCTTGAGAAGGATGTGTTCCATCAGTATTTTGAGCCATGAGCCTGAGCCCCCACACTACCTGAAATGTCGAGATCTGAGGATGCCACCATCAGATTCTGCTGTCTTCCCCACTGCCTTCTCTGCTACTCAAGCTCTGGGCCTCAGAACCTTTCTGCTGGTCCCTGGCATGAGACGAACAGAGGTTTAACCTGTCAGACCACTGTTATTAAAAGAAAGGGGAAATTGGGCCTGGCACAATAGCGCAGTGGTTAAAGTCCTCGTCTTGCACGCTCCGGGATACCATAAGGGCGCTGGTTCTAATCCCAGCAGCCCTGCTTTCCATCCAGCTCCCTGCTTATAGCCTGGGAAAACAGATGAGGACAGCCTAAGGCTTTGGAACCCTGCACCTGCATGGGAGACCCAGAAGAGCTCCTGGCTTCGAATTGGCTCAGCTCCAGCCGTTTTGTGTTCACTTGTGGAATGAACCATTGGATGGAAGATCTTCCTCTCTGTCTCTCCTCCTGTCTGCATATCTGCCTTTCCAACAAAAATTTAAAAAAATAATAAACAAATAAAAATAAAAAAAGAAAGGGGAAATAAAGAGAGGTTGTCTCTCGAAACCTTTAGGAATATTCCAGAAAGCTGCCCCACAGTGGTAATACATGCTTCCCACCGGCTCCCGCAACACTTACAGCATGGCGATGCCCCAGTGCTTCCCCGCTCTCTCCCCAGCCGCCTGGAAGCCAGAGAGGCCGATGAGGGCCACCGTGGGCGTGATGGTCAGCGGGCCGATGTAGCGCAGCAAGGCCCCGGGCAGGCCAAGGAGGCCGATGAACACTTCTATCAGTGAGGACATGATGATGGCCCCCTGGATCTGCAACGGGACACAGCGCAGACGTGAGCACGAGCTGCGTAAGGCCCACATTCCACGTGTCACCTGCCACCCCGACTGCAGATTCCACAGGACAAGCTACGCTCTCATCCCGAGGGCGTAACCCAGCCGGGACAGTCCCAGGAGCTCGCAGGAATCTATAGTGATGGACACAGTGTAAACCTGCACATTCCCTGAGCTGAGGCCGGAGCAGAGATGCACTCTGAGGAGTGGGGGTTGCAGCAGTCTGCCTGGCTCAAGTCCTGCTCACCGTGTCCCCGATCTGGTCTTCCACAGGTGACAGCCCCAGGACCCTGTCTGTGGCCTGTGACAGCCCTGGCTGCTGCAGGCCTCTGAGGCACAAACCAGCAGACAAGACGCTCTCCAGCACACTGCCTTTCAAGTGAATAAACCTCTCTCTCTCTCTCTCTTTAAAGGGAACTGGCATGGTACAAAATCAGCTCCTCTTGTCCCTGACACGCAATACAGACAAAACAAGGAATTTCCACTCAGCAAATACCGTGGGAAGAGATTTCACAGCTGGGGAGCGGGCCTTGCTGGACAGCCACAAACCTGCCGACAGTGCAGCATGGCTGGCACTGTGCTGATGTTGCACGTGGGCATAACTGCAGGTGCCCACGGGCGGCTGGCTCTCCTTCACATCTGTAGGGCATCACGCACTTGGGCGGACACTTTAGCTTTGGTTCTCCCAACAGATGCAGCCCCACTCCGAGGCCAGGACATGCAGACGGCTCTGCTGCCACTCCCCTTCTCCTGCACACATTGCCCGTGGACAGGCCCGCACAACCACACAGACTGACACCGACTGCCCGCCGAGGCACTGCCACAGTGATGGGAGCTGAATGTAGTTGGACGGCAAAAGTAAAGCTTCCAGCAGTTGAAAATGAAAAGACGAATTTACTTTAAAATAAATACATTAAAAAAAAGATGGCCAATTCTTGGGCACAGCTGGCACAGTTGGCAGGGTGACCTTTACCTCTCGGATCCGGGGATACCAGATGTGTTCCGTGTGGAGCAGCTCTGCGGTCCCATTGACAACTGAAACATCTTGAAAACAAAAACAAAAACAAGGTTTCCTTGGGGTGACATGGAGGCTGCCCAGCTGCACTCCACTGCGCCCTCTAACAACTCCCTCCCCATCTCAGTGTCCCTCCTGTGTCCATCAGCAGCCCACCCTTCCATCCGACCTCCAACAGCTCAGAGGAGCCCACTGACGGGGGGGACCCCCACGCTAATGGAACCAAGCGCACACAGCGCCCTGAGGGCGCCCCGACATGTCAAAGCTGCCTGAAGTGGCCCCACGTGTCACGCCAAAGCCAGCCTCTGCGAGCAGCTAACCGTAGCACTCCACAGCAAGGTCGCTGGACTGAGGCTTTGAGACCTAGATCTGAACCACAGGGACGTATCCAGTGCCTGCACCAAATCCCCAGGCCAGAGTCACTCCTAGGAGCAAGGCAAGGGGTGAAGGCCGGGCAACTTGGCTTCTGGAACCCACCAAAGGCCACGTGTCTTTCTGGGAGGACCACAAGTCGGACTTTGAGTTTCTCAAATTCCTGCCTTTTTTCGGTTCCTTAAGGATCTCTACAATCGCTAAGGAAGGGGAATGGAAGTTGTTGCAGGAAACCACAGGAGCCAGGTCCTTACAAAGCCAAGATGGTTCAGAGAAGGGATGCTGCCGCAGGAGAGCAGGGGGAGGGAAGGGCCGTAAAAAAAAAAAACAAAACCCTGAGAAAAGAGAGGCAGAAAAATGGCACAAGTATTTTTCTATCCCGTTCCCGCCTTTAGCAATCTCATTAGCACAGAGAGAGGAGGTCCTGTGTGGTCCTGACTCGTCCTGGGGGTTGGGGAGGGATGAAGGAGCGGATAGAGAGAGGCAGACAGACACGATCCGCAGATCAGAGTTCTAAGCGGTGTGTGGGTTTGTGTCCGATTCCAGCAAGGATTTCCCGCTGCGGAGGGTGGCGTGTGTCTGGCCTCCCTTGGATCACCTGCGGGATAGGACCCCCATGACATAGGTGGAAATAACTGCAATTACCTGTGGTGTTACATTTCCATTTATCTAAAGACAGGATGGCTCGAGCAGGGGCCAAAAATGCAAAAGCACTGGCCTGAAACAGGGGTAACCTAAAAGAAATGAGACCAAAACCATGATCACGGCATCGGGAACTACCGAGGTAGTTCACTATTTGATAGCTTAACAGTCTTTTCTACAGACACACAGCACATGGGGAAATGCAGGCACACCTGGAGGAGAGAGCCCCAGCTACGAGATCTACGCCACTCAGCTCCGGCCTCCCTCCTGCTCAGCCCAAGACAGACTCTGGGATGCAGTGGCAGTGGGGGAGGAGGGGGCGGGGAGCAGGTCAGGGTCATCCCCAGTACCAGCCCGCTCCCCTTGGGGGTGGGGTACCCCTCCGTCTGCTGAGCTATGGGCTCCTTCGCTGGCCTTTGTCACCTGCCCCCTCCTCCTTCCTTTCACTTAGCACCCCACACTGTCTGTCTCCCCGTGATGCTCCGGATCTGCGTCAGCTGTCACAGAGGAACATCAACACCATGTTCATTATCCACGTCTCTCACACGGAAAGAAAGTTGTGAGTTACAAAACACAAGCACACATACTAAATATTCTGCATAATCATTAAGAAAAAAAAAATTCCTCAGAAGTGTCCAGGCACACTTTCAGAGGGTCCAGGAGGGTAGCCAATTCCACAACATGGTTCCTGCCTCTAGCGAAAACCAGGGACACTAAACGCCACTGCTCAATCTTTTCAGAAGTTTTATGCTGCCTCTATGAATGCTGTAATACAGAGGAGGCTGGCACCATGGCATGGCAGCTAAAGCCACCATCTCTCGTGCTACCATCCCATACAGGTGCTGGTTCAAGTCCAAGCCATTCCATTTTCCATCCGGCTCCCTGCTAATGCACCTGGGAAAACAGCAGAGGAGGGCCCAAGGAGAACCAGTAGATGGAAGATTTTATTCCCTGTCTCTACCTCTCTGTAACTCCAGCTTTCAAGTGAGTAAGTCAATCTCAAAGGGGTGGGGGTGAGCACAGTATTTCAGCTCCGTTGAACTGTGGCTTTATGGGTTTCTGCAAAAACTTCATCCCTATTTTTATCTGAGGCTCCTGTTTGTAGAGCCAGGGAGGGATTCCCAAAGATTCAAATCCTTCTCAAAGTGTCCCAGCAGCCCTGCCAGTGGCCTGGCCAGCGAGACAGAAACCCAAGGTCTGTCTTGCAGCTCTGGGCCAGCAGGTCCCACCCACAGTGGAACAGGCACTGGGCTGAGGACAAGCAGCTGCCTCGCAGGTCCAGAGCTGCACCCAGCCTACTGAGGCAGGGATTCAGAATTCAAGGATCAGGATCCCTGTTCTGAGATGCTGTCCTGGCTGCAGCTGATCATGCGAGAGTTGTCAGGATGGCAACTGGCTTGCAGGCAGCGGCTGGCCACCCAGCACCAGCTTACGGCCCCTCCCAGGGGTGCGGCCTCTGCTAGCCACGGGAATTGCCATCCGGCCTGCCTGGGGGGGCCATCCAGTACAAAGGTGTTGCTCAGCTGAAGTGGGGACAACTTTTACAGAAATACTCCTTCAGCACCCAATCTTCCAGCGCACACACAGAGTACAGCAGCCCAGGGGGAAAGGACGCCAGCGCACACAGTCCAGCCAGCACCCGTGTCCCAAGGGATTCAGAGTTCAAGAGAAGCTCCCAAGGCATGGGCACTGAAGAGTGAGGTGCACGGGGAGACCTCATCAGCCAGCATGGTGTCCCACTCGCCAGTTGAATCTCAGTGACACCCGATTGTGTCCCTTCTCGGGTAAGCACTTTACAGCTTAAACTGGACTAAAGACCTTGTCAGCCACTGCTACAAAGTAACTCGCAGGATGGCAAGCAGCTGGGCCCTTAAAACAAAAGAAAAAAAAAAAAAGAAAGAAAAAGCCTGCCCCAGGCTGATGTGCAAGGAGCCACACCCGCAGGCGCTGGCGTTGCCTTCGAGCTGTGCATACCACTGCCCCGGCAGCTCCCACGGGCTGCGTGACTGGCAGTGCCCCAGCAACTCCTACTGGCTGCAGGACTGAATCACAGACCAGTGGCTGGCCTGCAATGAGGGTACGTGACCATACTCCAGGGGAGCTTCCCCTGGGTCAATTATGCGCTGGCCTATGGGTCAGTTGGGGACAATAGGGAAACATGCCAAATGTCACCTGGTTTTGTAGGCAAAAGTGTCACTGGATCACACGCTTGCTTTCAGCAACCAGTGGCTAAAAACAACAGGTCGCCAGGAGCCTAAGGCAACGCTGCTCCGCCTTCACCCCATGTCCTTCACCACAGATGTGCAGTGTGCAAGACAGCCTGCGTGCTTGAGGGGATGGGGTGGGCAGGCACACGTTGTGTGACCCAAGCACAAAGAAGCAGCCTAGCTGCAAGGGAGTTGCGTCACTGCTGGCCCCAGGTCAGGCTCCGCCCCAGGAGGGCAACACTCTAACCTGCCCCTCAGCAGGCCTCTACTTTAACTCAGAATCTTGCCTAACTCAGGCTCGCTGCCAAGGAAACCTGAGCCTCGTTCCCAGCCTCTTCTCACCTGCCCTCCCCACACCTTCTCTCATCACCGCACTGCCCATGTTCAGCTTCTAACTGGCACCCGAGACACCTCTTCCAGGAGCTTCCTGGATTTGCAATGTGCTCCCCCGCAGCTTGCCAAGAAAAAATAGGGCAGGAGTCAGGAGTTCATCTGGTCCCAGAGAAAGAGAACCCCAGCTGGGGACCCTGGAGCCCCACCAAGAGCAGTGCTGCAGGAAGGGAGATCTCCCACTGTGGCCCTGGAAACCATTTCTTTGAGATGTGCACGACACAGGTCCAGTGCTAAGCTGGGTAAGACGATGCAACGCCTCGTGGGGCTTCCGTGTTGGGAAGAGGACACGCACCACAGCCGCAGGAGAAGGAGGCTGCTCCACAAACTGTCAGCCAGTCTGGGAGCTCCAGAGACTTGCAGCACATAGACATTTCCAGTGGAGGAAAGGACAGGGCGAGGACAGGAGCCCAGAACCTGAAGCTGTTCTGTAGGAACCAAACCCCAGAGGGTGGCCCGAGGGGCAGGGTGGCGTGGCTTAAGCACGGGCACTCTGCCTCGGCACACTAGTGCTGCCTCTGAGGACTGGCAGCCCAGGCCAGGTTCTGCAGGCTCTTGCTGAGCTCCGCTGCTGTCTTGGTAGCTGAATTCCCTGCACACAGGCACCCCGTACCCCACCCCTGGCCCGGCACCTGTCCCATCCTCACGGCCAGATCCCCCTGACAACAGGAGGTGGGCCCGCTGCTCCATTCCCACGACATACTACAGGCCACAAATCCACAACAAGGCTATGGAACTATCTACCAGTGTCCTACCAAAGGGATTTTGGCAGACTAGGAACTAGAGGTATTGTCTGCCATGCTGACTCCCCTGCAGAGCTGGCAGAGGACACCATTAAGGATGGCGAGGAGCCTAGAGGAGTCAGCACATGGAAGGTCCAGAGAACCCTAGACCATGCTGTGGTACCATGGAGAAAAGCCACCAACAGGTCCCGGGCTCCATGTAAAGCACCAGAAGGTTGCAAAGCTCTCTGACCAGAGGTAAACTCCTTCAGGAAAGAGAATACAACAGAGATTTTAAAAACGCACTTACACAGCGGAGCATGCGCAGTGCAGAGCTACCTCAACCAACTTCGCACAGTGTGAAAATCATTAACTGTGGCTACAGTTTCATTGCTGAATCTCACTGGGAGTACTCATCTTAAGTGCCTTTGGAGAAAAGCAAACCACCAGCCTGCCACGTTACCCACCATACAAGGGGGCTCCAAAGAGGTTATAGCAAACACAACTGTGGGAGCAGCTTGTCTTGGTACAGGAATCCACATATCTGAGACATCTTCAAAAGATGCATGAGGGGGCCACTGCTGTGGCAGAGTGGATTAAGCCGCTGCCCATGACACCAGCATCCTATAAGGACATCCATCAAGAGTCCAGGCTGCTCCACTTCAAGCCCAGCTTCCAAGTGCTTGGGGGACCCCTGTGGAGAGCAGGAAGAAGCTCCTGGCCTCAACCCTCCCCACCGCAGCCACTGAGGCCATTTGGAAAACGACCCAACAGCTGGAAGATCGCCGTCTCTCCCTCCAACTCTCCCAAGTAAATAAATTTCTTAAGAAATGTACATTATAGAAAAAGTATGCATGGATTTCAAGACTTTTGCACCAAAATAAGCCTACTTTGTATGTTACATTGTCTCTGAATTTCCTGCAGTGGTCCCAAGTGTGTCTCTGTCACTCAACACTTCAGCAGGCATCCCCAGAAGCAGCATGCTCTCCTGCAACCGCACCTTCCCCTTGCCACAGGCAGGAAGAACAAGGTCGATTTAAATTGTTCTTAAAAGTATACCACACCTCCTCGCTTCCCCACAGGGAGCACAGATTGCGTTTGGTTATCCAGTGCCATGTTTAGGGTCAGACGAGGCATTTTTTGACAGAGAAACTGTTCGGGTGTCACCCCGAGGGAGTGGCCACTGCAGCAGGAACCACTGTCACAAAGGAGCCCTCCCCTGTGCAGGGAAGACACAAGCCGGCTCGGGAGCCATGGCTGACTTGGGAACCTCGGCTGACTCGGGAACCATGGCTGGTTTAGGAACCATGGCTGGTTCAGGAACCTCGGCTGGTTCAGGAGCCATGGCTGGTGCAGACGCTGCGTTGGCACAATAGGATGCTGTTGTGCTTTTCCAACCCTAACATTCCATCCATTTTTCAGCTCCTGTGTAAAGAGCTTTCTTTTGGGGCCTAGTGGTTAAAGTCCTCATCTTGCAAGCACCAGGATCCCATTTAGGTACCAGTTTGTGTCCCAGTTGCTCCACTTCCCTTCCAGCTCCCTGCTTGTGGCCTGGGAAAGCAGTAGAGGACAGTCCAAAGCCTTGGGACCCTACACCTGCATAGGAGACCTGGAAGAAGCTCCCGGCTTCAAATTAGTTCAGTTCTGGCCATTGCAGCCATTTGGGGAGTGAACCAGCAGACAGAAGAGCTTTCTCTCTGTAAATCTGACTTTCCAATAAAAATAAATAAATCTTAAACAAACAAAAAGCAACCAAGGACCAATAAGCAAATT